ATTTTTAGAAATAATTGAATTTTGAAATTAATTTTTTTGAAAAAGTTTAATTGAATTTTTTTTATTTTATTTAAAGTTTTTATTTTCTAATATATATATTGAAGAATTTACGAATAATTGAAATTTCGTAAAATTGAAAATGGTAAACAAATGAATTTGAAAATTGTCAAAGAACTTTTTCGAAAATTATTAAAAATAATCGATTTAAAGAAGAATTTTATTTAAAAATTCTTGTAAATAATAATTGAATTGATAATAATTTTATCACTCCATCTTTAATTATTATAAAACATGAAGAAATCGATCACTCCGAGTCGAAGACTCGGAGTTATCGATATCTTCATGTTTTATAGTTATGCAAAATTTAATTTATAGTTAAAAAAATAAAATAAAAAAAGTAAAAAGTAAAATGTTTAGAGCGAATTTTAGATTAAAAAAGTGCTTTAAAAAATAATTTATCTCTGTGAAATTAGTGACATTTTTAACTGTAAATTCACAGTATTTTTCACATAAGATGAAAATTAGTTTGCGTCGACGCTAACTTTAGGGACCTAATGAACAGCCAACCAATTTTTGAATTTAATTCAAACTTTAACGAAATAAATTATTTACATACAATTTCATCAAAGTTTCTCAAAAGCCATAAGTCCTTGGGGAAAATAAAAAGAAACCCTTCTATGTACAATTAAGCATATAAAACTTAATCAAAGAAAAGGGGGAAAATTTGTCTGCATTAATTCGAGGTTGGCAAGATGAAGTATAACACAAGAAAAAGGAGTTTTAAATCTCCTGGGATTCAAGTTTCACGTACAAGATAATCTGGTCCTTAAGAAGATTCTCCTCCTTCCTATATTGCAATTAAACTCTATTGTACATAAACTCTAAACTAAGGAGATTTTTTTTATTTTTTGTTTTAATTTAACTATTTTTATATTAATTAAATGGTAATTTTTATATTTCATTCAAAAACTCATCAATATTTATTTATTAATTTAATTATTTATATTTATTTATTTATTTATTTATATTTATTTATTTATTTATATTTATTTATTTATATTTATTTATTTATTTATTTATTTATTCATCAAAATTTCTATTTTTTCGAAGGATATTAAATTGAGACAAAAAAACGTCTCAAATTTGATAAAATTCATAAAATTGTGAAAAATTTTAATAATAAAGAAATGTAGAATAAATTTCCCGTTCTTAGATTAATAATTCCGATTAGAATTGAATTTCAGTCCAACCATTTTTTTTCCTTACACACGGTCATACACCTTTAGTTCGTACAGTAAAGAAAGTCTAATAGTACGTTACAAAGTTAAACTTCTGGTCACGAAACAATGGCCTTCTATATAAAATTGTTATCGCGTATAATAGAACTTATTTTTCCCGGAAACTACGCTTATATATTGTGCAACATTTGAATTCATGCCCAAGTGAAGAACAATTCTATCCATTGATTATTTATTAGCCACAAGATAAAAAATTCAAAATTTCCTTCTCGAAAATCGATAAATTAATTAAAAGTTATAAATTAATTATAATATTATAATTATATTCTATTATATTCTTAATATTTCTATTTATTTTTTTTTTACTTATTTATTTTATTTTTTTTTATTTTTTTATTTATTTATTTTATTTTTTTTATTTTTTTATTTATTTATTTTTTTTTATTTTTTATTTTTATTTTTTATTTTTATTTTTTTTTAGTTCTTAAATATTTATAAACTAAAATAACTTTACAAAAAAAAATTAGATACCAAAGAGAGTAAAATTAATATTTTCTTAACAAAATTTATTATTAGAATACGAAATTAATTATTATTGATATTTCCCTTTAGTCCTTGTAAAAAATTTGCAATTCATTTTTGGATAAATATTTCGTTCGACGGGATATAAGTATCTATAGCTTAATGTATTTTCCAAGAAGGAAATTTGCCTCAAACTATAGTATAATCTACACGTTCAATATTACACTTTATTCGATTTAATTTTTAACTTAAAAACTTTTTTTTTTTTTATACAACATTTTGTCAATATTTCATTTTATTTATTTTCATTTAATAATACGAATCGATTTTTTTTTGCGCGCACATGCAATGACAATAAAAATAGGGCGTAAAATTTCAATCAAAAGGGATTTTTTTTTCAATAGTTTCACGAAAACGGAGAAAAAAAAGTGTATTTTATACTGTTGCAACGAATCGAATTTAAAGACAATAAAATTCAACTTTTACTGTCTAATGTAAATAAAAGTGGGGGACGTGGAGCTTTTTGAATTTCTTTATTAGCCCAGAAAGTATTTGCCTCTCGCAATGCATACTATAGGTGGCATAGACACGAATTTCTTTTCAGAGTTATAATATAGGAAACGAGCCAAAGAAAAAAATACAAAAAATACAAAAAATACAAAAAAAAAAAGAAAATGAAGAAAGAAATCAAAGAGAAGAGGGTGAATCGATAAGAAACTCCAAAAGAGGGTAAAAAGTCGAACAATATGGCCGACCAACCAAAAGAAAAAAAACTAAAACTTTTTTTTTTCCCTCCACATTTTCAAATCTAAGTATTAACATTTTTTTCTCCCCCATTTCTAAACGAGGGGTGGAAAATGCCTTTTTGTCATTCGATACACTTCACTTCGAAAACGAAGGATTCTTCGCTCCTATTTGTTAAAATGAGGCAAGAATTCCTAAAATCAAATAACTATGCGATGGATATATTTTAAGGAAAAAACATTTTCAGGGTTGCCACGCGCTTTTGCTCATTTCAAATTCCCTGACTTTTTTTCAGGTTTTTCAAAAGGTTAAAAAACGGAATTTTCCCGGATTTTTCAAACTACATTTTTATTTTAAAAAATTAAATTATTATTATTCATTTTAATTTTTCCATAAAAATTGAGATTTTCGAAAATTTTAAATTCAAACCTTTTTGAAATTAAACGACTTATAAAACATGAAGAAATCGATCACTCCGAGTCTTCGACTCGGAGCAATCGATATCTTCATGTTTTATAATTTTTAACTTAAAATAATGTTCTTTAAATTAATTATTTTTAATAATTTTTGAAAAATTTATTTGAAAATTTCCAAATTATTTTATTTACAATTCAATTTTACGAAATTTCATCGTATATTCGGATATTCTTCAATCAAATATATATTTAAAAATAAAAACTTTAAATAATTTAAAAAGAAATCCGCAATTATAAACTTTTTTAAAAAATTTAATTCCACATAATTGTTATAGTTAAAAATGTGAAAAATTCAGATTTTCAAAGATTTTAATTTAAAAACCTTTTCAAAATTCAATTATTTATAAAAATCCACGTTATAATGATTTTAATATTTAATTATAATCTAATATTTTAACTAAAATTCATTTTTAAAACAATTTTTATTAGTAAATTCTACGAGAATTGAATTATTTAAATTTAAAAATAAATAATTTATTAATTTAATGATTTTTAAGATTAAATTCACATAAGAAATTTTATCAACAAATTTTTAAATAATTAATTTCTTTAGACGAATTTTAATAATATTTTTAAGAATAATTACATTTTTCGAGAAATTCGATTAAAATTCTATTAAAAATAATTGAAATTCTGCGATGAGTTTTATTAATTCTGAAAATAATTGAATTCCTAAAAGAATTTTATTATTTACAAAAATAATTGAATCCCTGCTAAAATGTTATTATTTATGAAAATAATTGAATTATTGCAAAAATTTTTTATTAGTTATGAAAATAATTGAATGTTTGCGAAAAATTTTATTCAAATTTTTTTTTATTAATGGAATTCTTTTTGAAATTTTTATTAAAATAGATATTGAAAATCATTGAATTTGAGAAAACTTTTGAAAATAATTGAAATTCTACGATAAGATTTTTTATTTGTGAAAATAATTGTATTTCTAAAAACAATTTCATTATTTACGAAAATAATTGAATCCCTGTAAAAGTTTTATTATTTTTTGTAAATAATAAAACGTTTGCGTAGAATTTTACTCAATTTTTTCTAAATAATTGAATTCTTTCAAATTTGAAAACATTTTTACTAATTCAAATTTAGAGAGTTTAATTTTCAATTATTATCTAAAATTTTAACTGAAATTGATATTTAAATCAGTTTTTATTAGAAAACTCTACTAGAATTTAATTATTTAAATACGAAAATAATTTATTGAATTGAATGTTTTTTAAAATTGAACACTCATAAAGAATTTTTGTCAACAAATTTTTAAATAATTGAATTCGTTTAACGAATTTTAATAAAATTTTAAAGAATAATTTCATTATTCGAGAAAGTAGATTAAAATTGTATTCAAAATAATTGAATCTCTGTTAAAAAATTTGATTGAATTGAGAAAATTTTTTGAAAATAATTGAAATTTTTTCAAGATTTTTATTAAAATTTTTTGAAAATAATTGAATTTTGGAGAAGAATTTTATTATTTATAAAGATAATTGAAATTTTGAAGAGAATTTTTTTAAACTTTTGACTATAATTAAATTTCTGCGAAGAATTTTATTACTTTTGAAAATAATTGAATTCTTGAGCCGAATTTTTAAATACCCAATTGAATTCTTTTGTGAAATTTTATTGAAATAGTAGATATTGAAAATAATTGAATTCTGATAAATTATTGAAATTAATTAAATTTCTACGAAGAATTTTATTAAAATTATTTTGAAAAAAAATTGAATTGTTAAAAAGAATTTTATTAAAATTTTTGAAAATAATTTTTAATAAATAAATTATTGGTAGGCTTTTTAAAATAATAATTTCCAGGATTCCGATCAAAATTCCTCGACTTTTACAGGTTTTTTCAAGGTTTATAAAATTCCCTGACATTTCCAGGTTTTTCAGGTTGCGTAGCTACCCTGATGTTCTGTTTCGCATAAGGCAGACAAAATAATATTGATTAAAAATAAAGAAACTGGACAAAGTGGTAAAATTGATGAATAAATATTCAATTTTCAAAGTTTTCATCAAATAAATTTTTCTTTGCAATTCTTAATTGAAATAACAATAAACTTTTACATATCTTATATTTAATGACAAAAATAATCTTATTCACTTGAGAGCGTGGTCACAAATATTTTAATATATACTAATACCCTGTACTGATTTTTCAAACATAAATATTAATACTCTCACTTTTTTCACACTTAATTTTAAAATTGAGAAAAAAGATTCTCGAATACTGAAAAAAATGTTCTCTTTAAATTCCTCTTAATACTAATAACATGAACATGAGAGAAATATGTGACTGCGTCTGAGAAAAGGGACTTTAGGACTAAAATAATTTTTTAACCCAGGAGTAATTGCATATTATTTTAAGGACCTTAAAGTGTAAAAAATAGTCTAAATCTAAAAATCGATTTAATCATAAAGTTCCTTTTCTTAGACGCGGTCACATATAGGGACAGGGCATGTACCCAATGGCGAATCGCTAATTTAATAAAATATATGGCACTTGGTGCCTGCGCATTAAGACTACTAATAGAGAAGTAGCCATCGTGTCCCTTGACTTTGAGACTTGTCCCTATATTTCTTATGCACTTGGCTAATACTTCATCACGAATTTTTAATAAATACGAAGAAATAAATAATGAATAAATAAAGCAACAATTGACTGAGATAAAATCTACTTGAACCAAACATAAAATAAGCTAACTTATAAAACTAATTTAATTAACATTAATTTGCCTAAGGCAAATTAATTATTAATGCCTAAGGCATTTTCTAATTTCGAGTCCAATTGCAGCGGCCACTGGCGGTGGAACAGCATTTCCCACTTGTCGATATTTATCAACAATATTTCCATAAAATGAATAACCATCAGAAAATCCTTGAGACCTAGCACACTCGCGAACACTAATCACTCGATTCTGTTCGGGATGAAGTACGCGTCCCTGCTTTCCAATGGGTTCGGGATTCGTGAGTGTGGTGAAAAAGAATCCGTCCCACTCGAGTCTTCCGTACAACCCCGTCCAATGATTGTGTCTATTTCCAGTGTGCGGCAAACACCAAGGAATCAATGTATTGTACTGCTTATCAGCTGAATCGCACTTCTTGCCAAGGCAACAGCTACAGACGCCTCTAAGTGCCCCCGTCGAACTCCTTCCGGCCTTCTCATCATGATAAGTGTACTCGAGCTTCTTGGACCACGTCCCATCACTCAATCGAACAATGATATTCGGCAAATCCCGCCAGTCCGATCCATTCGCCTTTGGAATCAATTCAATTCTCGCTTGCACCAAAGGCGCCATTAGCTTGCAAATATGATCCTTCAGTACCGTTTGATTGCCTCTCAGCTTTCTTTGAAAATCCGTGATGGCCGACTCCCCATAATCCATCACTTCCAAACTGCAACCATTATTAATCACCGGCAAATCAGACACAGCGTCTCTCACGCTCACCATTCGAAGAGGCGCCGATTCCGTCCACTCGCAATTCGTCGAGTACTTCCTATTATCCACGAGGCTATTCAACTGACAAGCCCTCTTACTAAACACATTTCTCGGTTCGGGAAAATTTGGCAAAATCTCACCAGGCCCTGCCGCTATTATAAACATCCTCCTCCTCGTCTGTGGCACTCCATAATTACCCGCTTGCAAAATCCCAAAAGTACACTGATAACCCATTCGCGTCAAACATCGGAGTGTTAATTTCAAAACCATGTTCTTCTTAAAAGACACAAAACTACGAACGTTCTCCATAATGAAAAATCTCGGTCGATAGTAATCGCAATACGAGAGATAAGTCGCCACTAGGGAATTCTTGAAGAAGGAATATTCTCTCGAATTAAACCGATTCATACCACTAAAGCCCTGACAAGGTGGCCCGCCACACAAAAGCTCCACTTGACCTTTAGTCGGTAGGTTCTCCTCCTCATCCCCCCTCATTATCCGTGCCAGAAGATAATTACAATCCTCCGTGAATATCTTGACACCCGAATTATTCAGACCATAAGCCTCCGCCGCCGATCCATCATTTTCAATTGCCCATTTCACTTGAGCCACTCCAGATTGACGTAAACCTTCCGAAAGTCCACCACAACCAGCAAAGACGTCAAGGGTCGTTAATTTTTCCCCTCTTTGATAATTACTCCCCTCTATAATAGATCTGCCAATCAATTTAACCAACTCTGACGACTCTCGAAAAATCCCCCCCAAAGGAACATAAGTCTCAGAGAAATAAAATCGATCCGGTCCTTCCGTCAACCATTCCTGAACATCTCCCAAATTCCCCTCAAAGGCAATCTGACACTTTCCAACAACTCGACAGAACCGAATTGTCACCTCCTCCTCGCTCCAATAGAGAAAATTCAAATCCAATTTTCTGATCGATTGAATATCTTTGCTCGTATTCTCCGGTCGGTAGAGTTTTTTCACCCTAATCCAAATTTTCGACGGTGGGACAAGTCTTTCCGCGGTCGTCGCAAAAATACCGGTGATATAACCGATATCGAACGGTTCGGGTACGTCAGTGTCCGAAACATCGCTGACTCGTAATTTTCGATACAATTCCGGATAAACATCTTCGTCGACACATCCCCTTTCCACCTCCTTACGACCACGTAGATTCGAAGACCCGAAATCAAACGTCCCCGGTTTCAAATAAATCCCACTTCCTCGACGAAATTCCTCATTTCGAAATTTTACAACACCGTACTCCACTTTATCAGTCTCATTTCCGCCAACCAATCTCTCGGAAACTTGGGGAATTTTCCCATATTTCTTGGCAACAAATTCCGAGCACGCCGGACAGAAATTAACTCGACAGTCAGACATCATTTGCGAAATTGGATCCTCGAATCTTGCCGTACTCTCCAAATATCGTTTCGAGCAAAAAAATGTCGTTAAATTGTTAATTGCACCTTGCGCTACATCCACTTTAGTCGAAATGGTATTGAAAGCAATATTGTCGCACCTCTCACTGTAAAATAATTCAAACTCGTCAGCGGTTTCACCGAGAATTGTGTCACTTGCTCTCCAGAACCAATTAGCGTGAATTAATTTATTTCCCTCTCTGTCTTCGTACATATAGAGAATACGAGCGACTTGAGGTGATGAATTCACTTCAATTAAAACGCAATCTCTAATTTCAATCTCATTGCCATCTAAATTTGCTTTTTCATAAAATACCCGACCATTGTCCTCGCCAATTGAATCACCAATCCATTCTGCTTCTTTGTCGACAAATTTAACGATTTTTGGAGAATACTCATCTTCTGACTCCGAATCATCTGGTAGATTTTTTCTATCATCAGTATCATTATCATTTTCATTATCATTTTCATTATCATTTTCATTCTCTCCTTGATGCTTTAACTGATCGCGAAAAAATGTCTCGAACGTATCTCTAACTAATGGCGTTGTCGTAGCTTTCGTAAAGGATTTTTTCTGTCTACTCCTCCTCAAAATTTGATTCGCGAGAATTTTGTTACACTTCGCCTCACTTCTCCGGAGATTAGAGTCTGGATTCTCCAAATTCACACCTGCGAGATTTATCAACGATCTCATACACGATTTTGTGATCAACATTGTGTCGTCAATCGCAGCTGAAGTGTCGAAAGAAAAAACCTGTTCGCAAATGAATTGTGAATGTTTGATAAGCAGCTCGGAATCGAACCTATTCAAAAGATCCTCGAACGATGGATCGATTTCTCCCAAAAGATATTCAATAACAGCTTTACTGGTGTGGATTTTTTCCATAATGGGCTTCATGAAAGGAATATAAAAATCGGCCGGTTCCATCAAAATATATTCCGCGAAAGCTGTATTAAAACCAATCAAAGCAACATCACCGCCCTCGAAACCAGACACAAACCATTCATTAATCGGTCCCAAATCCTTCGTCGGAAAACCATTAACCATCGAAGGATCGTCATCATAAATAGCTTTGACATAACCAGAAAAGAATAATTTCACATTCTTCTCAATAAGACCAGTGTCAAATGGACAGAGATGACCCTTTTCGTCGTAAACGGAAAATTTCGTGATTTTCTGCTGCGGCCACTGGTCATACTCATCAAGATTATTCTCATCGCCATTAAACAGACACAATTCTGGATTTGTCAACGTAACATATTCCTCGACCGCATTTTCCGGATGTCCTGGATAATTCAAAAACACTTTTTCCTTACAATACTCGCACCTATCATTTTTACGATTTTTCGACTCCATTTTCCGTAAGTGCTTCCTCTCTCTTTGCTTTTTTTAGACTACTAAAAATTACTAATAAAATATTTTTCTCCGCTGTGAATATATCGAAGACACGTATACACTGCTAATACCCTGTCTGCAATTGACGTTCCATTTCCATTGATTGAATGATGAAATATTTTGATGCGATCACGCTTTCGCGAGTACTCGTGCTTGACAATAAGTGAAAAATTACGTTCCAAATGGCAGTTGCACCAATTATTTGAGCCGGCAACACTACTGGAAAACAAAACAAAATAAAAAATATAAGAGAACGTAAACGAAAACGAAAAAAAAAGAAAAACTAAGTAAATAAAAATTAAAGAATTTAGAACAAAATTTATAAAAATGCAGCCTTTATTAAAAAAAGAAGGAGAGAGAAAGTGCTCGGAAAATGAAACCGACTCGTATGTTCGATAAAACAAAAAAGTCAAATAGAAGAGTAATTACTAGTCTTAATATATAAATGCCGCCCGATTCAAAACTATATTATACATTGAAACAAACATGTTTTATGCACGCACACATGTACACGGGAAATATTCACAATTTGCTCGTCAAGTATATTTATACAAATATATAACTGCGTCTATAGAGAGTAAATGTGTGAGGCGCTTCGTTTTCACTCTTGCACGATTCTCGCGGACAGATTCACAATATATTGGATTGTTTAGCGATATTTATTATATAAAATCCAAGCTCTAAATACAATTTTAATTTTCGCTAATATTCACTTTTCTCATTAAAAAAGAAAATTGTCAATATTAAATTTCAATTAAACACATTAAGGCAATTAAAGTCCGATTTAAAAGTCTTTTGTCAAACACAATATTTTAGTTTTAATTATAATTAGTATTAAAAAATTTAAAGTTTCCATTATGATAGTTAGATGTGTTAAAAATGTGTAAAATGAACTTAATTCCTTGAACTAGTGGACGAATCACGGTTTTCAATTTTTTTTAACGTAATTTATAAACATCAACAGTATAATTGATTCTCTTTCTGTACTTTGACTCAAAAAATTATAAACATAACCTAAAATTTTTTTTGCTGATTTGCTACCTTTCTTCAGAACGCGTTACAAATAGGAATTTTAAATTCAAAACAATTTTGTTTAATTAATTTTTATTATTATTATTATCAAAACAGTAAATTAGAATTTCATTAATTTTAAAATTTTAAACATTTAAAAAAAGGGGACAAAAGCAATTAAGTTGAAACTGCAGACAGACTTGCGGAATACAACGATTATAGATAAATATTTCAAAAACTATATTTAAACAAAATTTTCCAATAATGGAAAAAGGGAAACAAAAAGGAAAAATAAAAAAATGTCATTAGCATTATTATGAAAGTTAATTAATAAAGAGGAAGTACATAAAGTCGTATGCCAACAAGTATGGTTACTTTGGAGCGTGAATTCATTGATCGTTGCTGCTCCCTATATAGTATACGTGTCGTTATTGCGTGCACGTGGATTGCGTTTAAAATAAAAGTATTAAAAATAAACACTCAGAGTTGCAGTACAACAATAGTAGGGCGTCAAAATCTCATTCCTTAAATTATAATTTTTACTCTCCACTTTTTTTTGTTGACCCACTTTTATAATATTGTTTGAAACAAAACTCAAATTTATGACAAAAATTACTAAATTTCTCCTCCTTTAGTCTTGATTAAAGATTAAAATTATAAAATTATATTAATTATTAATCTTCGTATTCTTTCATTCATTCTATCCGCTATTAGTTTCAGTGTATGCTATTATTTTTTTAATTTAAATTAATTAAAATTAATTAATATTAATCAACTTTAAAAAATATATTGTTTTAAAACATGAAGAAATCGATAACTCCAAGTCTTCGACTCGGAGTGATCAATTTCTTCATATAATAATTAAAAAGGATCGAGCGTTGAATAATGATTTTATATTATAAGAATATTGAAATTCTACAAAATTATTTTCATATTCTATTATTATCTAAAACTAAAATTTATTTTCAAATCAATTTTTATTAGAAAATTCTACGAGAATTCAATTATTTAAATACAAAAGTAAATCATTTAATGAATAATTGAATATGTTTCTTAAAATTTAATTCTTATAAAGAATTTTATTAACAACATTATTGAAAATATTTAATTTCTTTTAAGGAATTTAATTTAAATTTTACTGAAATTTATTATATTGAAGAATTCTTTAAAAATTTTTGAAAATAATTGAAAACTTTCTGAAGAATTTTATTAAAATTTTTAAAAATAATTGAATTTCTGCGATTAGTTTTATTGTTTCTGAAAATAATTCAATTATTGCAACGAATTTTATTAAAAATTTTTTAAAAGAATTTAATTCAAATTTTTATTCAAATTTTTTAAAAATAATTTGAGTTTCTCAGAATTTTTTGAAACTTTTTGAAAATAATTAAATTCCATCGAGAAATTTCATTAAAAAATTGAAAATAATTGAAATCTGACGAAGAATTTTATTAATTTTTTTTTTAAATAATTTAATTTCGGTGAAAAAGTTTTTATTTTTGAAAAAAAATTAAATTTTTGTAAAGAATTTTATTAAAATTTCTTAAAAATTTGTAATAACTTTAATTTTTACAAGAATTTTTTTTAAAACTGTTTGAAAATAATTAAATTCCATCGATAAATTTCATTAAAAAATTGAAAATAATTGAAATCTGACGAAGAATTTTATTAAAATTTCTTAAAAATTTGTAACAACTTTAATTTTGACGAGAATTTTTTTAAAACTTTTTGAAAATAATTAAATTCCATCGAGAAATTTCATTAAAAAATTGAAAATAATTGAAATCTGACGAAGAATTTTATTAAAATTTCTTAAAAATTTGTAACAACTTTAGTTTTGACGAGAATTTTTTTTTAAACTTTTTTAAAATAATTACATTCTATCGAGAAATTTCATTAAAAAATTGAAAATAATTGAAATCTAACGAAGAATTTTATTTTTTACGTTAATAATTGAATTGTTTCGAAGATTTTTATAAAAATTGTTGACAATAATTGTATTTCTAGGAAGAATGTTATATTTTACGAAAATAAAAAGATAAAATAGAAAAATTTTATCATTTATGAAAATAATTGATTTCTTGAGAAGAATTTTATTAACTAAATCTTGTAAAGAATTTTGTCAACATTTTTTTAAATAATAGAATTTTTAAAAGAATTTTATTTAAATTTTTCGAAATAATTGAATTTCTCAGAACTATTTTTTTCAATTCTCTCTGAAAATATTTGAATTCTTTCGAGAAATTACATTGAAAAATTGAAAATAATTGAATTGGTGCGAAGAAATTTATAAAAAAATTGGTAAGTAATTGAATTCCTGTAGGATTTTTATTAAAATTGTTTTTAAATAATTGAATTCTTTTGGGTAATTTTATTAAAATAGTAAATATTGAAAATCATCGAAATAAGGAAATTTTTTGAAAATAATTGAAATTTTGAAAAGAATTTAATTAAAATTTTTAAAAATAATTGAATTTTAAAGAATTATTTTATTTATAAAGATAATAATTGATTTTGACGAGATTTTTTTGTAATTTTTGAACATAATTAAATTTTGTGATAGGAATTTTATTACTTTTAAAAATAATTGAATTTCTGCAATCATTTGTAACTTCTTCAAAATTCAATTATTTTTTTAGTATTTTAACTAAAATTCTTCTATAAATCCATTATTTTTAATAACTAATTAAATATATTTTGACAAAGTTAACTAATTTTAGAAGATTTTGAATGATTAAAATTTTTCAAAAATCTATATTAAAATTTCTAATTAAATTCATTCATCGTTGAAATTTTATAAAATTTCAAATTGAAACCGTTTGAAGTTTATTTATTTACGAAAATTGTAAACGCAACTCTTTTAAAATTGAATTAATTTTGAAATATTTAGGTAAAATTATTCATTAAATAATTTATTTATTTTATGACAGTTGTTCAAGATTTAAGTTATTTAAAAAGAAATTTTTGGCAGAAATTGAAAAAATCGAATGTTTTGTATTCGAATTCGTGGTAATTTTATAGTTTATGAGTCTAATAAAAAAAGACACAAAAATTCAGAATTTTCTTATGAATTTAAAAAAATTTTTTTTTTCAGTACCTACTTTTAATAAAAATTTACATTTTATTTTTATAAAAAAATTTGAATTAAAAATTTCTACGTTCTATTATTTTTAAAATTTGCTATATAATTTTATTTAAAAAAGTGAGTGAGAAGTCAAAATTGTTGCTAGTTAAATATTAAAGATTAAAGGAAATGAGGAAATAAAAAAATACCTGAATGACGATTGTGTCAAACAGAAGAAATTGAAGGTGAGTGACAAGAAAGATTTTTCATGTATAATAAAAGTGATAGAGTATCGGGAGAGTAGAGATGAGGGAATAATCATGTTAGTGACTCAAGTGTCACACACTATTAAAGAGTTTGTTCGACTCGACCTTATCGGGACACAATGCTATTCAGGGCAAGGACATTTCTAAATTCCCCTTTCTTATAATTTTTTTTTCTTTTTTCTTTTGCCTTTCGTCTGGCGACCCTTCATTTTTTTTTCTACTTCGAGAAAATATCTTTTAACCATCCGCTCTGTGCTTGGATCTTATTTCACCGCAAGTTTTTTAAAAGCTTAAAAATTAATTTTACAAAATCAATTCAACTTTATTAATTATATTTTCTTTTCTAAATATAGAAGATGAGATCTATTTTCAGCTCATTTTTCCAAAACATATAATATTTTTTATTCTTTTTGTCCGCAAAAATCAACCCAATCTAGAGGAAAATATTAATAACAAAAAGGAATAATTTTCCAGTAATTACATATGGCTTCGTTAATTTAAAACCAGTGACCTGAGTGCGACGATTATCGACATGACTGTCGGTAATTGGATGTCAAACGAAAGCCGATTAAATATTGATCTTGAACGATCTTCACCTTTCCAGAGCAAAAAAAAGGAGAATAAAAAAACTTTCCGGAATTGAAAAGTTTTCTCGAAAAAAAGAACAAGTTTTAGAATTTAATAAAAAAAAATGTCAAAGTTGAAATTAAAAGCAGAACTAGATTGAGAAAATCATTTGCAGGCGGTTGCCACAAAAAATTAATTTTATTTTTCCCTGATTTTCAGAGAAAATTTAGACTTTTTCCCTGACCCTCAAGAATATTCTGATTCACTCTAAAAATTATTATATATTCAAAAAAATGTTCTACTACATTTATTGACGAATTTTTTCAATTGTAAAATTATTCCACAACATCAATAACTTCTTTTTTAAATAAATATTTAATCATTATTATTACTCCATAGGAATTAAGATTTACAATAATTTAAATTTCCAAAAAGGTTTTTCAAAAAAATTAAATTATTTACCTACAAATATTTTAATAAAATCCTTCGCAAGAATTCATTATTTTCATACATAATAAAATTTTTCACAGGATTTCAATTATTTTTAATACAATTTTTTATGAATTCCTCGAAAAATGTAATTATTTTCAAAAATTGTTTGCAAGAATTCAATTACATTTCAAAAATAATAAAAATTCTTCGCTGAAATTAAAATATTTTCAACAACAAATATTTTAATTAAATTTTTCAAAAAAAATTCAAATATTTAAAAAAAAATTAATAAAAATTCGTTACAAGAATTCAATTATTTTTCTAAATATAATAAAATTCTTTACAGGATTTCAATTATTTAAAGGAAATATAATAAAATTCGTTGCAATAATTCATTTCTTTAAAAAAATCTAATAAAAGTTCGTTACAAAAATTCAATTATTTTTCTAAATAATAAAATTCGTTGCAATAATTCAATTATTTTCATAATTAATATTCTACATAGGATTTCAATTATTTAAAAAAAATTAATAAAAATTCGTTACAAGAATTCAAATTATTTTTCTAAATAATGAAATTCTTTACAGGATTTCAATTATTTAAAAGAAATATAATAAAATTCGTTGCAATAATTCATTTATTAAAAAAAATCTAATAAAAGTTCGTTACTAAAATTCAATTATTTTTCTAAATAATAAAATTCGTTGCAACAATTCAATTTTTTCATAAATAATATTCTACTCAAGATTTCAATTATTTAAAAAAATTTAATAAAAATTCGTTACAAAAATTCATTTATTTAAAAAAATTTAATTAAAATTCGTTACAAAAATTCAATTATTTTTCTAAATAATAAAATTCGTTGCAACAATTTAATTTTTTTATAAATAATATTCTACTCAAGATTTCAATTATTTAAAAGAAATATAATAAAATTCGTTGAAATAATTCAATTATTTTTCTAAATAATAAAATTCTTTACAGGATTTCAATTATTTAAAAGAAATGTAATAAAATTCGTTGCAATAATTCAATTATTTTCATAAATAATATTCTACTCAAGATTTCAATTATTTAAAAAAAATTTAATAAAAATTCGTTACAAGAATTCAATTATTTCACTAAATAATAAAATTCTTCACAGGATTTAAATTATTTTTAATACAATTTTAAGTAAATACTTCGGGAAATGTAATTATTTTAAAAATTTTTATTAAAATTCTTTGAAAGAAGTCAATTACCAATTATTTTTAATAATTGTTGTAAAAGTTTCTTGAGAATTTTTAAATCAATTTCTTTACAATTCAATTTTACGAAATTTCGATTATTCCGAAATCGTTCAATTAAATATTTAAAAAATAAAAAATTGAAATAATTTTTGAAAAAATTCAATTAAACTTTTTTCAAAATATTAAATCTACAGAATTGTCAGTTAAAAGTATGAAACTTTTAAATTTTCAAAGATTTCAATTTAAAACCTATTCAAAATTCAATTATATCTAAAAATCCTTGCTGTAATGCTTTTAATATTCAATTATTTATTTAAAATTTTAACTGATATTAATTTTTAAATCAATTTTTATTATAAAATTCTACGAGAATTCAATTATTCAAATATAAAAATAAATAATTTATTGAATGATTGAATGTTTCTCAAAATTTAATTCTCATAATGAACTTTATCAACAAATTTTTGAATAATTGAATTTTTTCCTCGAATTTTAATAAAATTTTCAAGAATAATTACATTTTTCGAAGAATTCGATTAAAATTGTATAAAAAATAATTGAAATTCTGCATATTCATGAAAATAATTAAATCTTTATAAAAAAATTTGATTATTTATGAAAATAATTTAATTATTGCGAAGAAATTTTTTTAAAAAAATTTGTAAATAGCTGAATTTCTGTAAAATTTTTATTGTTTATGAAAATAATTTAAGAATATTAGAATTTTTACAACATTTTTTTTTAAATAATTCAATTCTTTTGAAAAATTTTAATTAAAATAGTAAATATTGAAAATCATTTAATTGAGGAAAATTTTTAAAAATAATTGAAATTTTGCAAAGAATTTTATTAAATTTTTTGGAAAATAATTGAAATTTGGAGAAGAATTTTATTAATTTGAAAGTTAATTGAAATTTAAACGAGAGTTTTTTAAAAAATTTTGAACGTAATTGAATTTCTGCGAAGAATTTTATTACTTTTGAAAAGAATTGAATTTCTGCAATCATTTGTAACTTATCTCCAAAATTCAATTTTTTTCCAGTACTTTAATAAAAATCCCTGACTTTTCCCTATAATTTTCCTAACCTATGACAACCCTGATTTGGTAATTTTTCGTAAAAAGGAAAAAAATTGTTTACTCAAAAAAAAAAGAAAAAAAAAAATATTCATAAAACAAGAAATTTTACGAGGATAAAAGAATGTCATTCTCGTGAACGATATATATAAGAACATCGAGTGCGAAGAATGTAAAAAAAAACAAAATGCATGATGAAATCGTAAAATCGTGAATTATGTACTTTTTCCGGGAGATATTGCAAATCGAGTACTCGAGGGGTTCCCCACTGCATTATGCACGAATGTGTAAATTTAAATATTTCCAGACTCAAATTTCCTGGCTTTCAAACTTCTTTGCTCACTTATTTTCTTTCAAAAGGCAATTTTCCTGTATCTCATGGGGTAAATTTTTCTTTCACAAATTTAACGCAGACAAAATTTAAGATTTATAAAACTATCAAAATTAAAAAAAAAAAATCATTACGATTTTTCAAAAAAAAAAAAAAAAAAAAAAATGCCTTATTCTCTTATATCTATATAAGAGCCGATTAATCTAATGAATCGGATAATCACTATAATTTTCTCTATGTATATATATATATTTGATTTTTCATATCAGAAAAACCAGCATTTGAAGGTGAGTGTATAATGAAAGTTATAACGATTTTCGATGAAACGATAAACGATAGTCGTCGTTTCAGTGATTAAGTTTAATGGATCGCAAGTCACACAGTACCGCACTACGGCACTAATTGGTGATAAATTTCTTGAATTGAAATTGTTAAAAGAAATTGATATAATAATTATTTGTCGTGTATTTCACTCACTTTCATCTGTCTGGGGTGCTGATAAAATGGCGCTATGCTTCTTCTTCACTTCCTCCACATTTGTCTGGATCTTATCGATCATTTCACGTATCTCCTCCACCTAAAATACAATCAACGAATTAGTCTTCTCCTATTCCACTATACTTACAATAATAATAAAGAAATTCTTACAATTCATTATTTCAAATATTTTTAAATATTAAAAAACATAACAGTTTTTCAATTATATACAATTGAAAAATTTCTAAACAATTGAAATTTCGAAATATTTTTGAACAATTCAAATTTGGTGAAATAATTAAAATTTAGTAATTAATCCCAAAATATAAGGTAAAAGGGAATGTCGGAAGGTCGTTTTCGAAGCCAAAAGGCATGAACTATGTATAATAAAATAAAATAATTGAAATTTAGTCAAATCTTTATTTAAAAACAATTGAAATTTAATAAAATATTTTACAAATAATTGAAATTTAGTCAAATCTTTTTAAAATAATGGAAATTTAGTAAAATACTTGTAAAATATTTACTTTTCACCCGTTTATTTACCAAATAAATACCAAATAAATAAAAAATTATTGAAATATAGTAAAATATTTTAGAAATAATTTAAATTTGGTAAAATATTTTAAAATACAATTTAAATTAAATTTAATTTAATATTCAGTATATTTTCAAAAAATTATAATAAAGAAATTTCTATACAATTAATTATTTAAAATATTTTTAAATATTCAGAAAGATAATAGTTTTTCAATTAACAATTCAAAAAATTCTAAACAATTGAAGTTCGGTAAAATATTTTAAAAATAATTGAAATGTAAAATTTAAAAAAAAAAACTGAAATTTTATAAAATATTTTACAAATAATTGAGATTTAGTAAAATCTTTTTAAAATAATAATTTTAAAATAATTGGAATTTAGAAAATAATTTTTTAAATAATTCCAATTTAGTAAAGTGTTTTTAAAATAATTAAAAATGTAGTAAAATATTTTAGAAATAATTAGAATTTAGTAAAATATTTTCAAAATAATTGAAATTTAATCAAATATCTTTAAAATAATTGAAATTTAGAAAATAATTTTTAAAATAATTCCTATTTAGTAAATTGCATTAAAATTATTTAAATTTTGTCAAATATTTTAGAAATAATTGAAATTTAGTAAAATGTTTTTCAAATAATTGAAATTTAGTAGAATCTTTTTAAAATAATGGAAATTTAGTAAAATATTTTTAAAATAATTGAAATTTAGTAAAAAATTTTTAAACTAATTGAAATTTGGTAAAATATTTTAAAATATAATTGAAATTTAATAAAATATTTTACAAATAATTGAAATTTAGTCAAATGTTTTTAAAATAATGGAAATTTAGTAAAATACTTGTAAAATAATTGAAATAATTTGATAAAATATTTTAAAATAGAAATTTAAATTTAATTTAATTTAATACCTACTCAGTTATAATATTCAGTATATTTTCAAAAAATTATTACAAAGAAATTTCTACAATTAATTATTAAAATATTTTTGAATATTCAGAAAGATAATAGTTTTTCAATTAAAAATTCAAAAATTTTTAAACAATTGAAATTCGGTAAAATATTTTTAAAATAACTGAAATTTAGTAAAAAAAATTTTAAAATAATTGAAATTTGGTAAAATATTTTAAAATATAATTGAAATTTAAGAAAATATTTTACAAATAATTGAAATTTATTAAAATATTTTAAAAATAAATAAAAATTTAGTAAAATAAATTTTAAATAATTGAATTTTTGGAAAATACAAAAAAATCGTAGTTTGGATGAATTTCAATTATAAATATGAATCTTGAAAAAGTATCGTAAAACAATTCTAAGAATTAGTTTTTAAAAATATTTTAATGTAATTTTTATTTTTCGAAAATATTTGAATTTCTTAAAAGAATTTTTGTAAATTTTAAAAAAACTAATAAATTTTTTGATGAATTTTAATTAAAAATTTTAAACATGACTTTTTTCTCCAAAATGTTAAAAATAATTCTAAAATATTATTTTTATTGTATGTTTTTGAATTTTTGGAAATATGTTATTGAAAATATAAAATTTTAATAAATTTAAATTAGAAGCTAGTTTTCATTTTTAAATTTACATTTAAAGATTTTTCATTAAAATTTTTGAAAATTCCACTATATTTATAAACTTTAGAAAATAAATTCTTCAAAAATTAATTTTTTTACGAATTACAATAATAAAATACTTGAAAAAATCAATTATCTTCAATTAAATTTTGCAAAATTTCAATTATTCAAAAGGATTTTTATTGTAGATATTTTTCTTTATTCCCCTGACAAAAAAAATTTTTTCTTGTCATTTTTCTGACTTTACTGACACAAATGTTGATTTCCTTACATTTCCCTGACTAAATCTTTTCAAAATTAAATTATTTTTGTAAATTGCCACTATTTGTATATACTTTCATCAAAATTCAATTATTATCTGGAATTTTCAACAAAAATTAATCTCTAATTCAATTATTTTTAATAATAATATTAAATATACTAATTAAAAAATTAAAATAATTTTCAAAGAATTGGAATTAAAATTTTAAAAACTAGGTATTTTTAAATTTTCTAATTAAATTTATTAAAAATTCTAATTTTATAAAAATTTTAAATTGAAACCTTTTGAAATTGAATTATTTATAAAAGTAGGTGCACTGGAAAAAAAATTTATTTGATTCAAATAAAGCGATTAATTGACTATTATCAATTAAATATTTAATTGAATTAAATAATATTTATTGGAGTCAATTAAATGGTTCAATTCATATTTGCTTCAAATACTGAAATTATTGGTTCAAATGCCATTTAATTGACTCCAATAAATATTATTTGATTCAAGTAAATAATGAACAAAAAGTTTTGAACGTTCAAATGAACGAAATATTTTTTGTTAAAAATATTTTCATAGATTATTGATTACAATTCAAATTAAAAACTCAAATTTTACATTTAGAAACATTATAATTAATTTGCTTAATAGTGACGCAAAATTATATTAATAAAAATTTAATTTGAAGAAGAAATAAATAAATTTCGTTCATTTGAACGTTCAAAACTTTAACCTCCTAGTAAATATTTAATTGATAATAGTCAATTAATCGGTTATTTGAATCAATTAAATTTTTTTTCAGTATAGTAAGCGCAACTCTTATAAAATTTGCTTATTTTTCCAATTTTGAAGTAAAATTATTCATTAAATAATAACAATAATAATTGTTTTCAATGAATAACTATTTCAAAGAAAATTAAATTAATTTACTATAAAATATATCGATGACTCGGAGTGATCGATATCTTTATATTTTATAATAATTAAAGATGACCGAGTGATAAAATAATTATTTTAGAATTTTAGAATAAAATGAAAACTTAATTAAATAAATTTAGGGGGGAAAGGAAGAAAAGCATTATTTTCCCTAATTAAACATAAGAAATGAATATTTACGTTTGTGAAATGATTTGAACTCGTTTCCCGAGTGCGAATCATCTCAAAGTAAATATGGATGTGAAAAGCAAAGTCAGTGCAAGCATAGGCATTGAACATTTCCACAATGTGGAGAGCAAACAATTTATTTGCCTTTATACCTGTGGAACGTATTTTCCAAAGCTCGTTATCGATCTCGATATACACACCTCACCTCACCTCACCTCTCGGGGAGTGTGAGAGTGGTGAGGGTGGTGTGAGAGGAAAAGAGAGAAAAGTGAGTTTTGCGGGTTGGGTAGTAAATATTAGCAGCTAAGCAAATTAATCGATAAAGGCACTCGAGGGTCACACGGGGTCACGAAATGCGTTGGGCGTTGAGCGTTGAGCGTTGGGCGTACGACCAAACCCGAATTGGTTAAGTGATTCGCAAATTTGTAGGCGAACTTGATTTACTACTCTTAATTAAAACCCGTCATGTTATACACAAGAGGCAAATTTTCATTTTCTCCTCCCCCCCTCCACTCCCTCTTCCCAATCTCTAAATCATCCACTATATACAAATAAAATCAATTTTCACAAAACTATATTTTTTACTTTTAAAATATATATAATTTACTAAAATTTTAATTATTTTTTCAATATTTTACTAAATTTCAATTATTTTTTAAATATTTTACTAAATTTCAATTATTTTTTAAATATTTTACTAAATTTCAATTATTTCTAAAATATTTTACTACATTTCAATTATTTTAATATAATTGACTAAATTTTAATTATTTAAAAACATTTTTTGCAAAATTTCAATTATTTTTAAAATATTTGATGAAATTACAATTATTTCTAAAATATTTTACTATACAATTCAAATTTTTTAATATAATTTACTAAATTTTAAATATTTTGAAGTAAAAACACTTTAAGTTGCAATTATTTTAAAAATATTTTTCTAAATTTTAATTATTTTAAAGATATTTAACTAAATTTCCACTATTTCTAAACTATTTTACTAAATTCCAATTTATTCTAAAAAATTTGATAAAAGTCCAATTATTTCTAAAATATTTCATAAAATTTCAATTATTTCTAAAATATAGTACTAAATTTCAATTATTTTAATATAATTTATGAAATTTCAATTATTTCTAACATATTTTACTAAATTTAAATTATTTCTAAAATATTTGAATAAATTTAAATTATTTTAATATAATTTACAAAATTTGAATTATTTTAAAAATATTTGACTAAATTAAAATTATTTTAATATAATTTTCTGAATTTTAATTATTTTAATATAATTTACTGAATTACAATTATTTTAAAAATATTTTATTAAATTTCAATTATTTTTAATACAATGTACTGATTTTCAATTATTTTCTAAATAATTTACTAAGTCACAATTATTTTTAAAATTTTTTTACTAAATTTCAATTATTTCTAAAATATTTTACTAAATTCCAATTACTTCTAAAATATTTGATGAAATTTCAATTATTTCTAAAATATTTCATAAAATTTCAATTATTTCTAAAATATATTACTAAATTTCAAATTTTCAATTATTTTAATATAATTTACTAAATTTCTAATATTTTAAAAATATTTGACTAGCTACATTAAAATCAT